AAGCCTATTGCCTTGCTCTTTTGCTAAAATCGTCCTCTTTTGCTAGGAAGTTCTTTGCTCTAGAAGTGCTCAAAAACTGTTTTAAATTGGTTTTATGTGTTTTTTAAAGTGATTTAGAACCCTTATGATCATTTTTGAAACGAAAAAATTTTGCTCAAAAATCGTCATTTTCCCAAGGCTATAACCTTACTTTTTTGTCAAAAATCGTCCTTTTTTCCTAGGAAGTTGTTTGCTCTAGAAGTTTTTTGTCAAAAATCGTCCTTTTTTCCTAGGAGGTTGTTTGCTCTAGAAGTGCCCAAAAACTGTTTTAAATTGGTTTTAGGTGATTTTCAAAGCAATCTAGAACCCTTATGATCATTTTTGAAACGAAAAAATTTTGCTCAAAAATCGTCATTTTCCTAAGGCTATAACCTTACTTTTTTGTCAAAAATCGTCCTTTTTTCCTAGGAAGTTCTTTGATCTAGAAGTGCCCAAAAACTGTTTTAAATTGGTTTTAGCTGATTTTTAAAGCAATCTAGAACCCTTATGATCATTTTTGAAACAGAAAAATTTTGCTCAAAAATCGTCATTTTCCTAAGGCTATAGGCTTACTTTTTTGTCAAAATCGTCCTTTTTTCGTAGGGAGTTGTTTGCTCTAGAAGTGCCCAAAAACTGTTTTAAATTGGTTTTAGGTGTTTTTTTAAGTGATTTAGAACCCTTATGATCATTTTTGAAACGAAAAATTTTTGCTCAAAAATCGTCATTTTCCTAAGGCTATAGGCTTACTTTATTGTCAAAAATCGTCCTTTTTTCGTAGGAAGTTGTTTGCTCTAGAAGTGCCCAAAAACTGTTTTAAATTGGTTTTAGGTGTTTTTTCAAGTGATTTAGAACCCTTATGATCATTTTTGAAACGGAAAAATTTTGCTCAAAAATCGTCATTTTTCTAAGGCTATAGGCTTACTTTTTTGTCAAAAATCGTCCTTTTTTCGTAGGAAGTTGTTTGCTCTAGAAGTGCCCAAAAACTGTTTTAAATTGGTTTTAGGTGTTTTTTAAGTGATTTAGAACCCTTATGATCATTTTTGAAACGAAAAATTTTTGCTCAAAAATCGTCATTTTCCTAAGGCTATAGGCTTACTTTATTGTCAAAAATCGTCCTTTTTTCGTAGGAAGTTGTTTGCTCTAGAAGTGCCCAAAAACTGTTTTAAATTGGTTTTAGGTGTTTTTTAAAGTGATTTAGAACCCTTATGATCATTTTTGAAACGATAAAATTTTGCTCAAAAATCGTCATTTTCCTAAGGCTATAGCCTTACTTTTTTGTCAAAAATCGTCCTTTTTTCCTAGGAAGTTCTTTCTTCGAGAATTGCCCAAAAACTGTTTAAATTGGTTTTATGTTTTTTTTAAAGCGATCTAGAACCATTATGATCATTTTTGAAACGAAACAATTTTGCTCAAAAATCGTCATTTTCCTAAGGCTATAGGCTTACATTTTTGTCAAAAATCGTCCTTTTTTCCTAGGAAGTTCGTTGCTCTAGAAGTGCCCAAAAACTGTTTTAAATTGGTTTTATGTGTTTTTTCAAGTGATTTAGAACCCTTATGATCATTTTTGAAACGGAAAAATTTTGCTCAAAAATCGTCATTTTCCTAAGGCTATAGGCTTACTTTTTTGTCAAAATTCGTCCTTTTTTCGTAGGAAGTTGTTTGCTCTAGAAGTGCCCAAAAACTGTTTTAAATTGGTTTTAGGTGATTTTTAAAGCGATCTAGAACCCTTATGATCATTTTTGAAACGATAAAATTTTGCTCAAAAATCGTCATTTTCCTAAGGCTATAACCTTACTTTTTTGTCAAAAATCGTCCTTTTTTCCTAGGAAGTTGTTTGCTCTAGAAGTTTTTTGTCAAAAATCGTCCTTTTTTCCTAGGAAGTTCTTTGATCTAGAAGTGCCCAAAAACTGTTTTAAATTGGTTTTAGCTGATTTTTAAAGCAATCTAGAACCCTTATGATCATTTTTGAAACAGAAAAATTTTGCTCAAAAATCGTCATTTTCCTAAGGCTATAGGCTTACTTTTTTGTCAAAA